GCTCAGTTGCCCACTGGGCTTAAAACACGACACCCATGGAGCATGTGTTCTGTGTGACAGCTCAGTGATTTTTGTACCACTTCTGATTTCTGCCTCAGATCCTATGTTGTTCAAATACACTCCAGAACCTGAGTTTGGAGTCTCTTGTTCTTCTTCAGCAGCCCTTGATGCTCTAGGGAAAGGCAAACTTGTTTATTGGTGCCTATCAGTTGCTCCTCTATTGCTGTTCTCTCCATTGCTCCCCATTGCTCCTCCTGTGTGTAGTTTCAACAGCTGTAGTAACCCTTGACTTGCTCTCTGTAACATTTCTAAGTATGTAAATAAGTGCCAGCCAGTGCTATGGGACACAGTTTAGAGGAGATAAGGACCAAATTCTCTGGGTGGTAAAGATTCTCATGACTGGTGGAGTTTTGGGAGATACTGTGAGTATATGAAAATTGCTTTAAGAAACAGAAAGCATTCTAAGTTCCTGCTCAGCTCAGTGTAAAGTTTTTCTGCTTTTCCAGGGGTATTTTATCTCAAATGATCTCTTCTACTGTTTTACATTCCACAAAAATAGGATGACTTTTCTGGTCCTCTTCAGGTAGACAAATAAGACAAAACAGTTCTTTTACCAGTTTGAGTAAAGATCCTGGCTTTGCTGAAGAAATTCCTGTGGGATGTGCGTATCCAACTAGTCCTTGTCGTACTCGCAGAGGGTCTCAGCATCTGTCTGGGCATTGGTATGAGAAGGAAAAGCATTACCTTCCTTTTGTTGGGAGTTTTGCACACATTTTATAAGAGCAGGGGCATACATATCCACATCAGCAGAAGGACCAGTGGCCAGGTCCAGAACTAGGAGCAGTATCCCCAGTGACATCTCATTATTGTCACTAGGGATCCAGTCAGTGGGTTATGGAGGGTCATTCGTCTAACCCTAATGCAGACTGCACAAGCAGATAAGTGACTGCAGGCATCACTGCCTGTAGTGGGAACACAGGTGCCTATACCATGGTCATTTAAAGTTAGGTGAGATAAAGCCTACTGTGGCTCCTAGAAAACCTGGGCAAAGTCGATGCAGTGATAGACTTGCTGTTGATCTGTCAACCATTCTCACATCTGAATGTGTTTTCTGTTTTCCAGGGCACTGTAATTGTAAAAATGCATTTCAAATTAACCTCTTATGAAATGAGGAGGGGAAAAAAGAATGTACTGTGGTTCTGCTTGTGCCAAATCAATGTTCCTGTCTGGAAGGCAAAGCATAAGCAATGTGTGGTTATTGTTCTTTCAGACATGTAGTAGCTAACAAATAAAAGAAATACATGTATCAATTTTAATATGACCTTTTCCTAAATTTAATTATCTGCTGAGAAGTACAGTGTTATAATGCATATGGAAGGCTGACGTAAGTTTGATCCAGCCTTTAATAGGAGCAGCACTATGTTTCAAGTTTTGTCAGACACTGCAGGCCAAAAGTGAACGAGTTACCAATTTTCATTCGAAATGAGTTGTGTAAAAAAACCACATCAGCTTACTCTGCCATCCAGTCCTGTGTCCTGTCCCTCCCCCACAAAAAAAAATAATAATAAAAAAGAAATGTTGCCTGATCAGCCTAACTACTAGTCTTCACTGCTGGTGCTGTTCCAATGTGGTGCCCATGGCGGCAAACAACCACCTGTAGCTCATATTCCTCTATCGTCACTGTTACACATGTGACATTTTCTTCAGCCAGCAGGAAAATGATGGTGTAAAGGGCAAATTCAAACTCCGGACTGACACCAATAAAGGTGCTTCCAGTTGGCTTCACAGAGCCCTTCCAGCTGAACTGGATGCTCAAGACTTGGTCATCATTGTCAGGCTGAAAGCATAAACAAAACAACAGAATAATCTCTAGCACATTTGTGACCAGACTGACACAGTTTTTACAACTCCAGATTTTTGAGAGCATTGCAAGATTAAGTAATCCTTGCTGTGCCAGGGTGCTACAGCTGGAGCACAGCCGAAAGGAGCATACATGATCATTTATCTCTATTAAGCTTCAGCAGTGTTGTGATTCTATAAACACCAGCACTACTTTTTAAAATAGTATTTTCTTAAAAAAAGGAGCTGGACTTAAAGGTATGCTAGTATTTCTTCTGTTGATAAATACCTGGGCAAATTAGGTTCAAAACAGTTAGGCCTATGATTGCATTGTTGTGCCTTAATTAATTATGACAGCTTTTATCTCTGGATCCATTTGTCTTATTTGCAAGGGCAAACTGCTTGTTCTTACATTCATTTAGTTCTTACCCTGGTTTTGTTCTTCCGAGTGATGTATCCCTTGTAGTCAATTTGGTTGAGCTTTTCCTGAAGGTAAAATTGCACCCAGTTGTGCAAACCTAAGATCTGTTTACCACGCCTTGTTTCTCCAACAAAAACATGTTCAAAACCACAAGAATCAGGTCTGTAATAAACCAAAGAAGAATATATAGGCCTTTCATGTATTTAAATAGTTCAAATTGTCAGAGGTAAAAGGCAAGAAGATGCACAAGCTTGCTTAGATTGATTTGTGAGCAGTTTTTTTATTTGTCTGGATTTGTAGGGTTTTCTTTCTTACTTTGCAATGAAATCTAGCCATTAAGTCTGAATTTGTATTTGATGATGAAGTTTGCTAGTCAATGCCACAGATGCATCGCTGCTGCTTATCCAGATTTTAGGAAGGCTTCTGGCACTGCCTCCCGTTAACAGACTCATAGACAAACTGATGAAGTACAGATTTAAAAGTGGATGATGTGGTGGGCTGAAAAGGGCATGAATGTCTGTGGTTGAAGGCCCGTGACTTGGGACACAAAGTCCAGCTGGAGGACAGTCCCTGGTGGTGTACCCCAAGGGTCAATATTGTTAGTATCTGATCGGTAAGTCTTTAAATACAATCTGTGCAGGAGCAATGAACACCCGATTTAGGCCATATTCTGAGGCTGTCTTCCAGTTCTGTGTGTAACAGATGGCAGCCAGGTTTATATGTACCTAAGTCAGAATAGTGTAGAGGTTATCAGGGGCCCCGTATCCATCAAACATACCTGTCTCCTCCTTTCCTGGCATAGAGCTGGAACCAGATGTCATAGAGCTGATGTTTGAAATCGGCAAGGTTTGGCTTTGCTAGGTTTTTTTTAAGTAGATATTCATGAGCTATCTGAAGGATACAAAACCAAGATGTATACGCAGTTTACTTTTTAATTCAGTGTGTTCAGTGACCAAAAGAGATCTCTGTTACTCACTTTCATGACTTCTGTTGCTAGGATAGCATCAAGAAAACGATTGTTTTCAGCTGTTTCTTCTGGAGTCACTACTTCTGGTACACCGGTTGATGTCTCATAGTTGTCCAATAAGGAAATAAAGGCTGCAGCAAAAGAGAAACTTTCAGCATGCTCATCCTGAGGAACAGGCCGTATGTCTAATCATACCGGTGATCCAGTCATTAGAGACAGCCATCACAAAAATATGCCACATAATATGCCTTGACAGCCCTTACAGAAAGACATTCCTTTATATGTCAAATTTGATTTTCAGGTACACTGTTGGGTGTAGGCCTAGGGGTGACTCAAGGCCAGACCACCACTGTACTTCTTTTTAAGATAAGCAGCTCACTACTGAGCTTCCTTATGGAGCCAAGTGCTGAAGTGATAATGACCTTTTACCAAAACAAATAATATCTTACCACCAAAATTACAGACATAGGCTTATGAACTTGAGCTATGCTGGCAGGCAGCTTTGTGGGCTTTACTTCAATAGAGGAATAATACAGCAGAAACCTTCATAAGATGGCTTGGGCTTGAGCATGTGGCCACTGGGTGGATGGGTTAATATTCTCCTTTGTATGCCTTTTGCCATCTGCTCTCTCCCATAATTTCATCTACTCATGGTCTGACACTCAGTGGACTCTTGGGGGCTGATTCAGCACACGAAGCTGATAGAAAAATATTTGAGATCAAAAACCTAAGTCACCTCCTGCCAGGTCAGTGAGCTGAAGGGACTCAGTGTAGTGTTCAGTGACTACCAGAGTGACCCTCACTAGACACAGGATTGTGTGTCTCAGAGAGGAGTGGGAGGAACAGATCAAAATGATGTTCCCCATTATGCTGGCTGTTCAGTCAGCTTAATATAACTCTATCTGGGGAGAAGAAAAATCAGGGAAGGAAACATGCAGTCAGAGACATGCTTGAAGTATAGCTGCCAACAGAAATGCAAGAAGTAGCTGTGAATCTAGTGCTATCTCAAAGGGCTAGAAGCTGTGAGCAAAGGAGGAAAGATGATTTTTGCATCTTTTCAATACATAGAATAACATCAAAGCAATGACAAGAGTCTCATCCATTTCACTTTGTAGCAGAAGAACCACAGAGAAATTCAGATTTTGGCTAAGGCACAAAAGGATGTTCTTCCTGAGGCTGAGGCTTCAGGTAACAGCCATGCAAATGTTGTGCAAACTACCTTCACGTGACATGCGGCCTGGCGATCCTCAACACCATCAAAGTTATACATGTTATTATATTTTAGGCAAACACATAAAAACCAACTCAGATTCTTCAAGTAGTTTCCACCATGAACAAAAGAATGGGTCTCACTTGCAAACGTTTTTATGTTCTTCAGGCGTTCTTCATTTACGTTGTGAAACAGACATCTGGCTGCGTTGTCCTGGATAGCACTGTCACCTTGCTGTGCGGCACCCGCTTTTCCCTAGGAGAAACAATAAAATAAGTAAGATATACTTAGAGGAGACAGTGCCTGCCTTTATAATAACCAAAGCAAACCCCATAATACTATCAGGATTCTTTATTAGGAATGGTCTTCTTCTGAAACAAGAGAAGACATTGCAGAAGAACTGCCAGCAAAAAGGAAAGAGACATAATCTCTGACACTGTAAGAGCCTGAAATTTCTCTGTTGACTCATTTTCAGAGATCATTGTGGTGACCCATATGATAGCTCACTTCTGATCAGTAACCAGCTGTGCTACTATGCTATATATATATATCACAAAGGATAAAGAGAGGTAATGTAGAGCCAAGGTTCTCTCCCAACACAAATAAATAGAAAGGAGATATGGGCAACTTCCTTCTCTGTTCATTAGTAACTCACAGACGCACTGCACATAGTTTATGAGGCCATGCAGTGCAGCAGAGGGGTTGTTTCTCTCCTTAGTCTCTACTCCCCCAGCTAACCAGTCTAATTCTCTCCCTCATGATAATGCTCAAGCAATCCAACTCCTGAGTAGGCTCCCTCAGGCACAGCATTTGTTTTCCTTCTCTGATTTCATGACCGCAGCCCCAGCCATTGCCCCAGTGCCAGGGAGATCCTGAGATAGTTCTGTGCAGCTCCACCAGCTTTGGACTGGTGCATCCTGGTCCTCTGAAGTTTTCAGAGTCTTCTGGTTGGCCATGTTTAAGAGCATTTGAATCACCATTACCAATAAGCACATCCAAAATGGAAAGGAGGCTTTCCTGACAATTTTCAAATTTCTGTTCCAAAAAGCGTCTTCTCAAAGAAAGAGGAGAAAAGATGAGTAGTCTGTTAACATGGGCAAGGGGTAATTAGATCTTTGTTCTGAGAAATGGAAAAACCATATGGGAGGAGATTTCCCCACATACATTTTGGCCTGGGTTAGGTACCCCTTTTTCAAGTTTATCAGCAACAGAAAATTTTATCTTATAAAATGAAGCAACATTGAAAGGAAGTGTTTGACCACTTGTGTGAGTACAAAACTGGATACTGAGTATTCAGTGGCCTGCTGCAATTTGTGGCCAGAACACAGGGTCATGTTTGCACTACACCAAGCTGGCAAGTAGTGAAATGGCTGCTCGTCAAATCTGATACCCACTCCTCCCTCACAGTTACCTGGGACTGGTAGCAACAAGCCTGAAACCCTCACCCACACCTCTGTGCTATGCCACACTCTCCACAAGAGACCCAGGAATTCATCAAATTCCTTAAATTCCTCCCTTATTCCCCCAAGAATGACATGGTACCTATCTCTCCTCCTCCCTCACTGAAGGTCACCCAGACTATGCACACAGTCATAGACAGAACATCCAGGGTGGAAGGGACCTCAGTGAGGCACCTCTAGTTCTGCTCAAAGTATGGTCAACACTAAATTCAGACTATGTTGCTCAGGGTGTCATCTTGCTGGGTCTTGAAAACCTCCAGACATGGAGATTTCACAACTTCTCTGGGCATCCTGTTCCAGTTGCATTTGTCCTTGTTGAATTGTGGTCCTTAGCCTATTCCTCCAGCCTGCCTAGGTCCAGCTGAAGAGAAGCCCAGTGCTTGCACATACCAACTTCATCACCACAGTCTGCTGTCTCCAAAGTTGGAACGGTTGCACTCCGTCTCCTCCTCCTGACCACTGATAAAGGTATTAAATGCTATAGGACCCAAGACAGACACCTGAGAGGCGCCACATGTAACCAACGCCCAGGTAGTTTGGACCATTAATGTGTTCTCTGTACTTGTTGCCTCTCCTAAGTGATTCTTCATCACTAGGAAGTCCTGCCTATGCCATTAGTGGAAATAATGAAACATAGGCAACTCAGCAGAAGGCAGTTTTGCAGACACCCTTTCCTACAGTACCATACTGCTCAATCCTCATATGACTTAGCAACTGGTTACCTGCAAATCAATTGTGTAGTCTTTCCCAGGCATAAGGCGGTTAACATCCATATCCCACATCTCATTGAAAAGTTTAGAAAGCTCATGATTTAAGGCCTTCCTGTCAAGAAATCCAGAGAAATACACAGGTTAAAGAAGACACATGCTGTTATTTCTGCAAGGCACTTCTAGAGTCTTCTAATGCCACTCTATGTCTTGGATACTAGCTTGTCGTCAGGAGAGCTTGCTCTTCTCCCCACACCTTCCTGTCAGTGCTGCTCTCAAAACTATAGTGCTTATGGTTCATGTTCATATCTAAAGAATGCAGCTAACCTGTAAGGTAACTTGAGCATTCCCTAGGGTTATTTTAGAGTGTATTTTAAGAAACTTCTTGTTAATAAGCCTTTCTGCAGTTTTCCATGCGCTGAAATAAAAGTACAGATGGTGGCGTTTCATTCAGGAGGATTCTGTGTACAAACCAGAGGCAAGCAGGAGATCATTATCAGCGTGCAGCATCACTACACAACAAAACATGAAGCAAAGAATTCTCTCTATGATGCTTTTCTAGCAGCAATCTTGTATACACTCTTCCTACCTACAGAATAGAGAAGGAAGAGAAGTGAGCTAATCCTTAAACAACTGACAGTTGAATTAAACAGTTACAAACCAGCACATGCATCGAAACCCAGAGAAGAATTGCTTGATAATTTTGAATTTCCTCTCCAAAGCAGATGTTCTCAAGGGGAGAGGAAAAAAAAAA